GGTTTCTGTCTTGTATCCATCCCCTGACTCCTAAAAGAATTAAGTTCAGAACGGATCTAGAATGAGTCGAAAATATTCTCAAAATGGATGAACCCCAGGCAAGAAAGCAGCAAATATTTGTTGCTTCTTTAAATTACTTGCTGTACCACCTGGAGATAATCCACTGCATTAAATCCACTTCTGAATCGTGCTCACTCCTCTGAATGAGTAAATTTTTTTGAAATCTGTACGTCAGTACCTTCGTTAAATTTACCGTTACTGGATGTGTACGGGATGTTCTAGCAAAACGTCATCGCCAGGTATATTCGGTCATCGTATCGAAAGAAGACACAGATCAGTAACTAGATTAATCTTCCCATCATCCCCAAAGTGCTAAGAAATGCATCGTCAACAAGCGTTCCAAAAGAGAACGAAACATATGCGTTACGGAAGGTAAATTTCGTACTAAACTATCTCACATCAGGCAGACACTACATAGAAACGGGCCTTCTGATATGCCATTCATAAAATTTGCATGAACTTCCCGTATGGTCGTCAATCAAGCGAACATTAGGGCGGCTGCTTCACAAGTTGGTCACAACCTTGCTTTCAAACCTCTTTTAACACAATGCAGTCGCTTAAAACACCTGAAAACTAAGAAACAGGATGGGCAGTAGGAAAGTTCGGTGGACAAACTCCTACATGCTTGCTGTGCACGTCTGTGAAACGGATAGCACCCTTGAAGAAAGGAAGCCTAAACACGAGAAAAACTCATCATATGGAAAAACGTTGATGCCACAGAAAACGATTTCTCTCAAGCTGGTAGAAGGAGGCAAATGCAAAATTCCAAGGTTGTCAAAGCGGGATGCGAGGAAAATCCCGCTATCGTGCAACATGCTGCAAATAAACAACACGCAATTCCATGGAGAAAATGAAAAGTATCGCGCGAAAACAACGATATCTCACCCACAAGGTCAAACAAGCGTTATTTATCTGCGCAACCATCTGTATCAGTCGTGATTGTGGATTAAATGTCAGCAATATATGGATCGAAAACAACCAACGGTCGTCTAAGACTAGTGACACGCGAGACACCATCAGTCAGATGAATCTGATCCGCATAAAAATAAACCGTAATTAACCTACTGTAAATCTGAACACGAACGAACATCATATAAAA